CATTCTACTTTATTCTCAAACGCCGTGACGAGGGCGCTCGGCGCGACCCGTCGCGCTGGCGGCGCAGACAGCACAGCCAGCAGCGTGGTGAGCTGGTCGTCCAACGCCCTACAAGCGCGGGGAATGCCATGCGCGCCGTCTGGTGTCGCGGCCACTGCAGGCTCTTCCAGCGGCGCGTCCACCCCGATGTCCATGCTCGCGTCCTTGTCATTCCCGCGAAGTGATGCCCCCACCCACGGCGGAACCGAATCTCCGGGCCCGACTGCCTTCTTTGGCCGCTCACGCACCGTCTCGCAGTCTTCTCAATCAAGCGGCATCAAGCTCACCCACACGCTTCGTCCGGGTACGGGCCAGTCTGCTCGGCATCCCTATGCCGGCGGGTCGTTTGTGTCCGCTGGACCCTCATCAACATACTCGACGCGCCATTTCTCACAGCCGACTTCAGCCGAAGCCGAGACTGAGGACTCGACAGCCGCTTTCCGTACCAATTGGCTGCTGCAACATGCCGCCACCGCCACTCAACTCGCCCCGTCGCATTCCATGACGCCTGGCTCTGGGGAGGATTCTGATTATCACATGGCGACATCCGACGGTGGTTCCATTGTCCGCGAAGACGCCATTCCGGAACGCGCAGAGGATGAAGCGACCATGATGGACAGTTAAGATCCAAGGAGGGCTTCAATTTTACGACACGGCCTGTTCCCGAGAGCAGAGACACGGGGTCAACGGCAAGCAGTCCAGTTTAAACGTTTAAGCGTTTCAACGTTTCATCACTCGCTGCCACCCTGTACGATAGGGCTCAATTGTTCAATGTTTTTGAGCCGAATCATTATCAATTCAATTTTTTTTCTCTTCTATTGTACATGAAATCAAAATAAAAGCATACAAAAATAAAAGCGACATAAAGTACAAAAATCTCAAATAAAACAGACCAACAACCGAACGCAAACAGGAATAATTAGCCGCGGCACGGCAACAGGGACCCGTTTTCGCTCAAGCAAGTGTTTCGGCACGCGGGCTCGTCTCATCAACCTGAAGACAAAGCGAAGCGAGCAGATGCAGCAGGTCCTCGAGCGGATCAATCACACCAAGATGTGTGTACTTGGGAACAGTTCCGACGACATCTTTAAAGCCAAGTTTGTCGAGCACCCAGTTCAAATCTGGGACAAACTTGCCTGCATAGGCCGTCAGCCGCAGCTCGGGTTGCAGCCTAAAGTTCTCTGGGTCGCAGTGGAAGACACGGCCGTCGTGGAGACGGTGCTTGCTGCTGCCTGGGGTTTCGACTCGACCAGATGCGTGCTCGGCCGTGCGTTCAGAGGAGGCGGAGGAGCTTTCAGCGGCAGGGCGCACAGTGCGAGACGCAGACTGTTCGGCATCTACAACAGCCGCTGCTGCTGCATCCGTTGCCGACGTCGGGGTCGAGCGACTCGACAAGCTGCCCGCAAGCACACTGAACGCCTTGATTTTGTCGTTGGCACGCTGCCACCGGGTCGCGGCTGATCGACGGTCAACCTCATCTCGGAACAAGCGGACGAGGTTGCCGAGGTACAAGTACAAGCTGACATCGAGCGACACGCTGATACTCTCTTTAAAGTCGGTCAAGAACTTGCATTCCACAATCTGAGCTCCGGCATTTCGACGATGCCGCGCAACGGGCGACACGGGTGCAACGTGGGAGTTGCCAGCAGAAGGTTGCTCGAGTTCTTGAGGCGTTGAGTTGATTGTAATCGTGGGTGTCGTGCTCGCGGCGGCGACCTGAGGGCGGAACGCGGGCAGCTGCTTTTCGCCAGACAAAGCGGCCAAAGGTGCCGGCGAAGAAGCGGGTTGATTGTGGTGGTCACGATGAGGGCGATGAGCTTGCTGGATCGCCAGCGGACGCGAGCTCTCCATGTGAAGAATCACGGCAGGCACAACGAAAATATCAAACTCGATCTTGGTCTTGCGCACAAAGTCAAACCATTCTGAAGTTGAAAACCCATCGGTGGCTTCCTTGCGCCCTTTGGACAGCTGAACTCGCTTGTCCTCCTTGCGCTGTACAACGATCGAGCGCCCTCCAACTGCAATCAGCGGCATGAGTTCAGAAACGGCCAGCAGCTTGGTAAATTCCGCTTGAGCGAGCTGCTCGTTCACGACAAGCTTTCCAAGCTTCAAAACTCCAACACCACCCATTCCGACACCTGGGTTGAGCAATGCGACTGCATGGTGCGGCGCTTCAAAATCAAGTCCAGGAGCTTGGGCAGGTATGCGTGTGGCAAGGAACGACGACGCGCTCGAGCTTGAGCTTGAGCTGGAGCTGGGGCTGGCGGTGGAAGCCGCAGCTTGAGTGGGGCTCGTCGGTCCAAACACGAGCTGAAGAGTTTGATCAATTCGTTGCCGCGAATGACTTCGCTTGTACAAGTACCTTGTGTCCACATCCTTCACCTCAAACAGCGCCCAATCAGGATCCAGCAAACTGTGCCAGAACAGCGCTGCAGATATTTCACGACCACGAACGCGGAGTGACCCAAACCGCAACAACTCTTTGCCAAGGGAAGAAAGCGACTCTGACGACGGGGAAGCAGCGGCTACTGCTGCCGAAGCAGCATTGTTGGAGGACGTCGTGTTTGGCATTACGGCCACAGAGCGGCTGGGAGTAAACTGGCGCGCAATGCGATCTCGCTGTTCGGTGACAAGCATAGCGACACGCTTGCCCACCGATTGGAACGAAGGGAGAGTCTCCTTGGACAAGATGAGCCGCGCGTGCTCAAAAAAGACCTCACCAAACACGGCGAACGACGGCTGGATGGCAGCCTGACTGAAATCCCCGGACGGCCCTTCCAGCTCAAGCACAGCCACACCTGTGGTGAAAACCTTGCTGGGGTCCGACGGGGGTGCATGAGAGACCACGCTATAAGTCCATCGATCGTTGAAGTGCATGTTGAGCTTGTGCATGTGTGCGACAAGAATACGACTGCGGTTGTACTCGACGTTGGCCGCAATGTTTTCAATGCAAAAGGACCAATTGTTGTGGCACAGGACCAGGGGAAAATCTTCCGCCTTCAATGTGACTAGATTGTTCTGGTGATGCCGGATCGGATCGAGCTGCCGACGGGAGGCGACCAGCGTTACATTGTGAATGTCAAAGAAGCCACTCAACAGACCGCCGTCGTTGGTGATTTTGGAGCTTTGCAGAGACACGCGTGCCAAGAGGGACGGCATGGTGGAGAGCTCCAGACGACCCTTGCCGGCCAAGCCGTTCATCGTCCACCGCGCCTTTCCTAAGGATTGTCCCAAATTGGAAACAATTTCCACACGGTGAATGTTGACGAAAAACAAGACCAGAGGTGCCTTGCGCTCCGCAGATCGTTGCCCGCGGCCAGTTTCAGGTTCCTGGTCTTGGAGCGACTCTGTGCTGCTGCTACCAGTGAGGAGGTCGTTGGTCGGATCAACGCGCTCGTCGCTGTGTGGGTTGTGCGGATCCTCGCCTTCGATTGCAATCGAAGGCGAGAACGACACGTGAGATGTGGTGTCGTCGTCCAATGCCAAGTGCTTGCTGTGACGGTGGCCGCTATTGTGACTATTCGTCGCGGGGACATCGCCCTGTTCGGTTCGCGAGGTCGCCACGTTGTCTTCGTGCACAGCACCTTGGGGATCATGGGATAGGGGTGAGGTGGGCGGTGGCGGTGCGGCAAACTGGTCGCCGAAAAGCAGGCTCCAGATCAGCTGTCGCCCAAACCACACTTTTTTGAAACTGAGGATTTCTTCGAGCTGCCTAAAGTTGTAGACGAGCGAGAGGCCGTCCAAGTTACACAGAGCGGAGAGCAAGAGTCGGGGCCGGGGCATCCTACCCGCGTTGGCCTTGATTTCGCGAATGGAAAGCGACAGAGCTTCGTGAGGCGAGTAGGGATGATGCAAACCGACTTCAAATTCCGACAATTTGCATGTCAGGTAGATGGCCTGGCCACGAAGCACATCCGAGCTGTCGCCGAAGACGACATCGTAGTACGATCCAGAGGACGGAGGAGGTGCACCACCGGAGCTAGCCGTCGCTGCTGGTGGTGCTGCTGGTGCTGCGGCTGTTGTTGTTGTCGCAGCGTCGGATCTGGGTGAGGCCGCTAGTCCGATGGGCAATCGATCGCGGGTGGTTGCGCGACGCAGAGCGGCTGCAAATGATGTCTGACGTTTTTCGGGGACGGCAGTGGCGGAAAACGACTCGACGGACGCCGAGGAAAGCGCCAACGTGGAGTCGGGGGCATCCTTGGTGGACAGCAGCAAATCCAACGCCGGCAACCGAATCTTGCACGAAACCTGCGAAACAGGGAGGCATGTGATTTCGATCGAGATGGCATGAATGCGGACGAAAAGGCACACGTGCAAAACGTGGCGTCGAGACGATCCAAGTGCAGGCACCTGAGGCACCTGAGGCACCTGAGGCACCTGAGGCGGCGCACTGCTGTGGGGTGCAGCTTGTCGCTCGCCGGATCCTTCATCGGCATGAGCAATGGACGACTGCGCCGAGGATAGGGAAAGTCGCTCAGGATCGAGGAGGCTGGGGTCGCTGTCCGAGGAGCCCCGTCGAGCAGGCCTGCCGACCATATCGCTGGTGGTTCGAGAAGCAGCCGCATGGCCGTGTTGCTGCCGGCGTTTGTTTTGGACGGCAATGACTTGGACCATGTCGTTCAAAAACTCCAACAGACAGGGTCGTAGCACGACGGCATGCGGAAGGCTGTTGATGGAGAGTTCCACACGCAAGTTGCCGTGTTGATCCAGGTTTTGCGGCTTTGCAGACGCACCACCACTTGCTCTGGCGGAATCTTGGTCAAGCTGGGCGTCGCTGACGGGCCGGCCCAGAGACCCGCTTGATGGTTCAGCCGCAGCAAAATGGACAGCGCTCTTGGCACCATCATGAGTCGTCACTGGCGTGTAGTTGACACGACAGGTCACGCCCGGAATGAGCAGTTGAGTCACACGGTCCTGTTGCGCCTGCTGCTGCGCTTGCTGTTGGGTTTGCTGATGATGTTGATGTTGAAGATTCGGCACACCGCCAGGCTCGTCTTGACGGGGTCGGTACATGCTGGCGCGGTTGGCAACGACGACAGGGCGGGTTTGTGGATGAGGGTGCAGCGAGCACTTGCCGCTGTGGATGCTGATGGCAACATCGACCTCGAGCTCAAGCCTGGACTGCTCGGAGGGCACCAACAAGCCGGCCTCACGGGCCCCTAGCGCCTCGGGATCCTCTTGTAACATTGCGGCATCGTCCAGTGATGGATAGGCGGCTGTTGACGAGAGCCAAGCGGGGGCGTTGTCCGTCAATGCTTGCGTGTGATCCGTGAGCGAATTCAACGTGTTGGACAGCATTGGCAAGAATCGTGCAATGTGCGGATCCAATTCCACCACCAAGCCTTGGATGGAGCACAACACGGCCAACGTGACGCGGCCGCTGAGGACTGCTGCCTTCGAATCGTCTCGCATCTCATCATCCTCGCCAGCCAACGCCGCAGGTGCGGTTCTGGTAGTTGCAGGTAATCCTGTGGCTGTCGCGGTCGCGAAAGCGCTTGCATCCACCAGGAAGGGTGTCGAAAGCGAATCATGGGACTTGGCCAACGCGTTCGACTCGGACATTCGCGAGGGTCCAGGCTGAATGCCAGAATCTGGAGTGGCCGTCTCGGTCTTCGCGCACAGTTGGTAGGTGGCTGACGGCACTAGCGCAATGTTGCGCGTGGTCTCCTTGGCAAAGTTCAAATACGACATGACTCGCGAGGCGTCAAAGCCGTCCACAAAGCGCACTGCCAAATTTTGCAATGCGCCCGTGCTGGCTTTGGTTCCAAAAGCGGAGACACGCATGAGGTCGATGCTCACAATCATTGCCGAGACGTTGCCGCCATGCGGGTCGGCCGAGCGGTGCGAGCCAGCCGAGCGCTGGCTGCTCACGCTGCTTGCTCTGCCTGAGCGCAAGGCATCGGTATTGCCGCGGGCGAGCGATGATGCCGTTCGTCGAACGACATTGAGCTTCGGGGCGACAAGGGGAATCGCAAGCGATATTCGATGCACGGTCAGTTGAATCCAGTGCTTCACGGGAGCGGCCGTCATGGCTGGAGCGGCACCGCCGAGGCTGGGCTGACCGACGGGCGATGATGCTCCGGTTGAGACATCTCGAGCAGCTGCAGCAGCACTGGAAACTGGCTCGCCTTTCTTGGAATGGATCGTTCGTGCTACGACCACTGGTTTCCGCGAATGCAGTTCCATCTGCTGACTGTGAACAAGATCAAAGTAGCTCGAGACCGCTTGCTGCTTGTGAGCTTCCCAGAACTGCATGGCTCGGTTGTGGCGCAGGACAAACTCCATGACATTCTCCACAGCGCTGACAGGGAACACGCCAGACGTGTCATTGACCATCACCCAAACGGTGTTGGTGATTGCCGACAATCCAGACGAGGTAGCTTCCGGATCTTCGTGATGCACAGTAGAAAGTTGCTCCCTTGAGGCAGCCCGCGATTGCGATTGCGATTGCGCACGGACTTGTCGTTCAGTGTCGACTCTCGACTGCAACTCTGCCATGTTTTGCACCACCAAAGTTGTTTGGAAGAATGCCAGCGGCCCGCTCGAACTGGGATGTGGAGGATGCAGTTCGTTGAGCAGCAGTCGCATCGACACGGATGCATTCCAACGGAACTTTTCCACTTTGGAGGGTCGAGCGCTGGACGACGAGGTGGCGAGATTGCTGGCCACTTCTCCATTGTCGAACGACACGATGAAAGGGTCTGTCACGAAAGACAGGCCAAACTTGGAGCCCGACGCAAGGGTCAAGTTGGCATCTGCAAACCGCAGCTTGATTTTGCTCTGAGGCGGTGCAAAGATGGGCTGAGGTACCGGTGGCTTTGAGCGACTGCCTGCAGCGTTGGAGTCTGGTGTCGCAGGGCTTCGCGTCATGGAGGCTCGAGACGCGGGGTCGCTGAGAGTGGGGAATCGACCTCCAGAACGCAGCAGAGGGGCTTTGCGCGATCGCCGCAGCGCATCCTCCATCAGCATGTACTTGATTCTTCGAATTCCATTCATCAGCAGCGTCGCCTCAGAGTCGATGGCTGCTCCAATCAAAAGGAAGTGACCGACTGCCTCAACGGGGAGCTGGAGATGCCACTTTTCAACAGTCATTGCCACATCGAGCGACCCGCGTTGTTGCGAAGAGGTCGTTGTTGCAGGGGTGGAGACACCGTTTGAGCGTTCGCTCGGTGCAGAAGCAGCAGATGAAAATACAGCGCCAATCGCAATTTGCGGCAGAGGCAGCGAAAGCACCTTGGATTTCCGCGATGGTTTAGGAGCGGGAGCTGGTGCCGCTGCTGACGCGTCTCCCGACGACGACAGCGTCGTGCGGAATCCAAATGCATGCTCTGCCAGGTCGAATCGACCGCTGTACACGCCCGCGGCATTGTGCGCGAGCATTGCGCTAATGCTTCGGATCGAGTAGCCCGCACTAATGCTGGGCGTGATGGCCAGCGACACTTGAATGTTCCCCAGTTCAAATCTCAAAGCTGTGACAGGCTTGCGAGCCGCGACATGCGCCAATGTAGTCGCAGAGGCAGCACCGCTTGGGCCAGATTGGCTAGCTTGCTGAGAGAATGAGCTGCTGGGCGGCGGTAGTGGGGCGGTTTGCGAGAAACGCTGGCTGGCACAAAACCACTCCTCCAGCAGCGGCAGACACTCGGTGGTGCTGTGGAACGTTTGAATGAGGAGCGAGTTCCAGCGGAGAAGCACATCTTGACGGGCGACCACCCATCGATCCTTGGCCAAGGTGGCAGTCGAGTGCATCGTTTCAGAAAACAACTGCGGATGCATCAAAACATCCTGCGTCATGTCGCCGGCCGACTCCAGTGGCTTGAGATTGACAAGTGCACTTGCATCGATGATTGAGATTTGTGCAAGAGGGACATCATCAACGATAGCTGACGGCGTCGTGTCAAGCTGCGGGTCGCTGAGCGGTTTGGTCGTGACGCGCTCCGGTCTCTCTGATACGTAATAACGCCTCGGCGAGTGGGACGGCACTTGCCGCCCCACTCTCTTGAGCATGTTGACACTGATGGATCCGCTTGTGAGCACGAGTGATCGAGAGCGATCAAGCTTGGTGGCGTCGACGAGCCGCTGAATTTGTAGCGCGTTCGTATTCCAGTCGAGCGTCTCAGACTCGGGGACGAGACCGTTTAACGCAGCGGCGGCAGTCATTGCGGCGTCGGCGGCAGATCCCAGCCCCAGATTCACATTGTGAACCGTGGTGGAGCACCGCAACTGTTCGAGCTTTACATCGAGTTTGTGCTTGCCGTCGATGGAGACAGTTTGCAGACAAACCTGGTGCACCGAGCACACAAGATGGATGGTCGCCCACGGACCAACGCGAGGACGCCGAGCTACGCGCTGGGGAGGAGACAGAGCAACTGCCGACGAGTGCAACCGCTGTCCAGCTGGTGGAGCGCCTCCTGCCGAAATGCCGCCACTCGATGATCCAAGTCGGGCATCAATGTTGCGCAGCAGCTGCTGATTTGATGCACGCGACGGGATAAGGGACACGTTGTGAGCGCGAGCGCTGACCAAGGCAAAGGAAGACACTGAGGATTTGGCCAGGAAGCGATTTCGGAGCCAGTTTGGTTTTGCGCGAATCGTGTGCTCCGCAAGCGCACCACCAGGCACGGGATGGAGACTCGCCATTCCCCTGGACGCCGATGCCGCCGACGCGCCTCCCGAGGACATGGCCGACGGGCCAACCAGCAGCACGCTCGTGTTTGAGCGCCCAAGCTGGGAGGCACCTCTTGGATTGGATGGACTGTTGCTCGCAGCAAACTGAATGGCGGTAGATTCGTCGAAAATGCCCTTCGATACGAGCAGATTTTTCAAGGCAGGATCGTATCGGCTGGGCATGTTGGTGATCGAGGACGGAACCGTTCGTCGTTGGGGGTGAAGGACGCTTTGACGCAAATCCACCGACTCGTCATCGTTCTCGGTACCATCGGAGGCCAATCGCGCGGCGGCCGCAAATTTCTTTGAGCGCTCGGTTGCTTCGTAGACCTCATGGGCACCAGGTTGTTGAACAACACCAAAGTTGTGTACGAGTTGCGCATGAAGCTCGGACGTTGGATGATGCTCAACGGCTGCCAGATCGTCCATCAACTCGATCGCTGCGACGGCATCGGTCACATCCAGAAAAGTCGAGCTGGACGACTGCAAGGTCGCAGGAAGAAAGTTTTCCGAAAGGCGAATCATGCTCAGCATCGAGGAATGGACCTGAGGAATGATGCTTGAAACGTGCACAACGGCAGACACGTTGATCAGAGGAAGGACTGGCGTTGGTAGCCTTGAACCACCGGACACGGCCGTTTCAGAGCTGATGAGCTGGGTCGTCCCGTCCTCATTCACCAAAACCATACCGCTGTCAGTAACAGACGGTTTTGGTTGTGGGCTGGACGAATCACTTGATGTTGGAGCACTGGGTGTCCCGAACAGCGCATGCTGCGGCTGGGAATCGTCACCGTGGCGTCGCCGTCCAGCTGCATGTGGCAGCAGTGCAGAATCGGACGTGACATTTCGCAGCGACTCGGTCGTACTGTCATCAACGACAAAATTATCGGCAGAAGAGGAACTGGTGGCAGCTGTGCCTGGCAAAGTCGGCTCATGCACTAGAATGGTGCGAGCAGCTGCAGGCGAACTGGGAACCGACAACAACTGGTCCGGGCTCGCCTCGCCCTGATGAGGCGCCTGATTGAACGGTCTGTCGTGCGGAAACTGGGAGACATCACCACCGCGCACGTCCAGCCCGTTTGCGACAGTCTTAGGGCTTGATGGCTCTGCTGCCGTGGTGGCGTTCGAGCGTCGATGATGATGGTCGGCATGGTCGGCAGGCTTGCCAGAGCGCGCAGAAGCAGCAATAAACAGCTTGCGAACACGCACACCGTTGTCCGTAGGGGCCACGCCATCCACCAGTTGAAGGTTTGGCGATGATGTAGACTCGTCCACGACTCCATTGTTGCCAAGCGCGCTCATTCGAGAGGTGTGCGATGCGGCAACATCCGGCATGGGAGCGCGCATGTCGTCGCCATTCGCAATGACAACGACGGGAACGACAGTTGTTGCCTTGGCAGGTGACGCGGCTGCTCGGCCAATGCTCGGGTCAAGAGCAACCGAGGAGCGCTGGGATGGCGACGACGACAGCGCGGTCGAACCCCGCGGCTGTGGCCGATCATAAAGCACCGGCTGAACGATCGTAGCCGAGAACCGCATCAATGCGCAAGAAAGCAGACACGTTCAGAGAGAGCAGGCTTTC